CCGGCAAGGCGGAAGGACGCATGCGCGGCTCGCGGCCTGGGGTCTAAATGGATGGAATGCCCCGGCGGAGGTCGGATCTGAACCCGGGGCGGCCTGGTCTCCACCGCACTTGCCGGTGAGGAGGATGAGGCTCGATGAAAGAAGATTAGGGACACTGATATTATTGAGTTATTCCATGTGCCGGGCACTTTTCCCATTGAAGTGTTTCGCAGGGCTCAGAGAGAAATGACCTGCCCCGTTATACAAGTTTTCTTAAATTACTGTTTTCTTCTGCCTCTTCCTTTTCCACGTCCTCCTGTCGTGGCACACGTAAGAGCACGTGCCTCTTATCTTTAACATCGAGTCCAAGCCTGAAATGAAAATCCAGACCTCTTGCTCGCCAGCTTTATTTCCCGCCACACCAGCCCTCTCATCTAGTTGCAGCCCCGCTGAATCAGTGGCGCTTTCTCAAAGGCACCATCCTTCGTGGCTACACCGTTCTCACTGAGTCGCCTTTCCCTGCCCACGTTCTCAGGCTACCTGACCAACTTGTCCTTCAGATCAGCCTCAATGGCGTCTCTTCAAGAGGCCTAGAAGAGGCCCTTCCGGCACCTCCACGATGACCTCTCTTCTTTTGTGTCTGTGTACAGTTGAATCGTATTCCTGCAGTAACGCAGCACTCATTCCCCGGATACTCACTGAACATCTCCACTGTGTCAGGCAGTGTGCTGAATCTGGGCCTATAATCCAGGTACACCACCTCTGCCGTCACAGAGGTCCCACCGCACTGGAGGAGAGAGGTGCAGGAGAACAAACAGGAAGTAGGACACAATGCGAGAAGCGTAAGACTGGGATTTAGGGAGAAGCGGGGACATGGTATGGGGAAATGAGAGGCTGGGAGAGAAGATTCCCAGAGACGATGACAGAGTCACTAAGAGAAAAGAAGGCCCAGCCGGGCGTGGTGGTGCAGCTGTAATCCCAGCACTGGGAGGCTGAGGCAGGAGGATCGCTGTGAGTTCAAGAGCAGCCTGGGCTACATAGTGAGTTCCAGGTCAGTCTCAACTACATAGTGGGACCCTGTCTCAAAAAAAAAAAAAAAAAAAAAAAAAAAAAAGAAGGCCTGAGTTGGCTGTGGTGGTGCACATGTGTAATCCCAGCTACTCAGGAGGTGGAGGCAGGAGGATAGAAAGTTTAGGCCAAACTGGGCAATT